TTGTGGCCATTTGGTCTCGTCGGCATTTAACCATGTCGACAGTTTGCTGGAAGATTCGATAGACCTACATTGTCGGTCTCGTGGGCTGTTAGTCTCGTGTGCTCTTGCCGGGACTGGTTAGTCTACGAAGACTGGTATAAATTATAAATCATTGTCGACAATACGTAACCTTGTCCGACTTTAACATACATGCTTTGATGCTAATTAATATGCGCCATCTCGGAAACAGATCATTTCATGGACATGGACGAGGGTTTTGCCCCGCCTACTAACGATGAAATGTGATGAGATCAGGAAACTTACTATATACATCACAATAACCATACAAAGGTCTAACTCTTGAGATGATATTATGACCTTCGACCAGAGAAGGGAATTGCAGATTTGATGTTCATTTTTTTATTATTTCATATGTAATAATCATTATCATAAAATTAATGAGAGACCTACATATAACATGTGTAGTGTGTGATGTAAAAGGTAATATCGTTCCAAATGTGTTTTGGACATTAAACCTCTTTTTTATGGCCTTTTTAATTAACTCTTCTTTAAAGATGAAAACGGAGACGACAGCGCAATTTTTCGTAGGATCACCAACAGTCTTCGCCAATCTGATTTGTACGTGGATCCTATATTTATTTTGGTATATGGTGTTACTTTGGCGTCGCATATAGTTTGGAGTGGTTGGCACTCCTTTCTTGTACCTTATGCTCTGAAGAGAGGGATCTGTGTCCGGCAGGTGCGGATCCACGGGGGGGGGCCGACGGGCCCGCCCCCCCCCCTCCCCCGAAAGGAAAGGAAAGGAAAGGAAAGAAAAGGAAAGGAAAGGAAAGGAAAGGAAAAGGGAAGAAAGAAGGGCTAAAACACGAGTTAGGAGTGGACCCAGGGCCCTCACCTATCCGTATATAGGCCAAGCTCCCGCGGTTCAGGTGGACATGCGCCGAGCTTTGGATTGTTTTAAGGTCTAAACTAGCCCTAATTCGTGTTTTAGGCCTATATATTATGTTAGAAACAAAATGCCGATGATCTCTCTACACTAGGGCGTACAAGTTACAACGTTCAAAAGTATTTCAGGACTCGGTTAACTTCAGGTCCATCTGTCAAATCATCATGCTGTGTACAGGGTCCGCGGTATGGCGGGGCTCGAGCCCCCCCCCTCTTCTTTGAAAAAGTATTTTAAAGAGAAATAGAAAGAAACCAACCAAGGGCAAGGCCCCGGAAACAAACTTTTTTTTTTCCTGCAAAATGCGAGACCACATATTTTATCTACATAAAAGCGCGACTTAGCAAACGTAATTAAGGAAAAAAGCACGAAAAAATAGCAAATGCGAAAATTAAAAACACGGAGGCATCGTGAAGCATGTCGGCAAAGCTTCCAAATTCGGCAGTTCGCGGATTCATAAAATTAGTTCCGTAAAAGTGGTCGTAAAAGCCTGATTTATTCAGAAAATTACCCATTTTTATCGCCAGAATCTGGGTAAAAACACTGCATTCAGTTGAACAGGTGCACAGAAGACGACCTGTCAGTCTAAATTTTTCTTTTTCAATCTGCCCATAATATTTATTATATGTAAATTATACCGAATAAAATTAGTCTCATGCACATCGTTTATTAGTGTCACAGATGGGTTATTACTGTTACACTATATGGACAGATTGGATAGATGCGTAAATCATTAAAAATCAAAATCAGTATACTATGCGAAAAGGATTCTTCTCCAGCTTCCGGAAACCAACCTGGGATTTGTATTGTGTCCTGCAGGACGTAATTACTCACCTCTTTTGCATAATATGTGCGTGAGATTTGGTTCTTTCTTATACGTGCCCCTTTTCATCTCCGATGAGTGCATGCCCTTATTAAAATTTGAGAGGTGTCCCCTTTAACTCTGTAATAAGTGCCCCTTTTCATCTCTGATTAGTGCCATTTTTCTTCTGAAAATTGCACTTTTTCCATCATCTCTGGTGAGTGCCCCTTATTTAGTGCGAGGAGTGCCCCATTTTCACCTCTGGTAATTTCCCTTTTTACTTTGACATGTGCTCTTTTTCATTTCAAATAAGTGTCATTTTCCCCTTTGGATATGTGCCCCCTTTTCCTTTCCCTGTAAAAAGTGCTCCTAATTTAAAAGGATTAAGAAGAACTTTTCTTTAATTTCACCCAAGTGTGGCTCGCTACGCTCTCTCGTATTTAAAGTTGGTATGATTATGGTTCATATTAAAGATCTTTTCAGTCTTTCATGATTAGATTGTGCTTAAAACGTAACGCTTAAGATGTAATTTTTTCACTGCGACCTCACAAATCCAAATTTTTTGCTCGCTCGCAAAAATTATTCGTACCATCACAAACCAACTACAAAGTATATGTGTGATGCTTGAACAGTATGAACCATGTTAAGAGAGAAACAGACATTGAAATCATCCCTGTAACACATTGTAGGGGTATATACCAATGTCTAAAAAAAACTGTAAATTTTCGCTTTGAGGTTTCCCTTAGTAGGTGCCCCTTTCTCCCGGAAAGTGCCCTTTATTGTTGATGCCCCCCACACCCTTTGAATTACCTCAATTGCCCCTGGCCTGCTCAAGCCTCCGAGCTTCCAGGGGCGCCGCCCCCTGGACCCTACACCAATTTACGCTACGCTCTACCTACTTTAGCCCCCCCTACTTTGAAAAACGTTCACCGGGGCCTATTGTGAGGTGTTTAAAGCTGCAGCCCGAATCAAGTTATTGCTGTCTGCCCATTACAACTGCTGCACTAGTCTTGTACTGACTGATTTTGACAATCAAGTGATACCCGAGGTATTAGGAATCTGTACTGTGTCAATTGTGGTTGTCAACATTGTTGCAATTGAAGATCTTGTTTAGAAATGAAATAAAAAGGATAAAAGATATACTTTATGGACTCCTGATCTTGATGAGGGAATCATTGCTGTGTTTAGTTATACATATAACAATATTAAACACTTACACCTAGAGGCAGTGGCGTACGCAGGATTTTTTCAAGGGGGGGGGGGCGGGGGTTAACATTTTGAAATCAGGCAAAAAAACAAAAAAAACAAAAAAAAATCACCGAAGGGGGGGGGGGGGTTGTTCTAAAATACACACATAAAAAAAAAAACTAAAGGGGGGGGGGGTTTAACCCCCAAACCCCTCCCCCCCCCCTGCGAACGCGCCTGCCTAGAGGTACCGGTGCCATGAATACCAATGTCCTAAAGACTTTTTGTCACAACGGGCGGATTGCACACATAGTCCCACTTCTTGTGTATACAGTCTTTTCCTCCTATCATAAATTTATGCTGGAAAAAGTCACAAATTTTAAATGATATCCTGGCAAAAAGTATACACCAAATCGAGTTTACAAATTCGACTTTTCTTAAGCTTTTCAGGGGGACGCATCCCCCCTCAGACTCCCCCTGTCCGCGCAAGCGCGGCACGCGGCGCTGATGCGCCGCTCAATATTTTCTCACAAATTGGCCCCCCCCCCCTCGACGCCGGCTGGATCCGCCCCTGGTGTCCGGAACACCATTATCATCACTTTCTCAGCTGCAATAGGGAATATCTTCAGCAGGGTTGCTGTCGGTTCCCTTACCAACAGCCTTGTCAAACCTGTCACTCTCTATCTCTTCGCTACAATCTTGAACATCGCCGCTCTTCTATGCGATGTGTATTTTGACAACTACTACGCCATGTTGGTGTCGTCATGTATCTCCGCATTAGGGACTTTTAGATTTGCACGTCAACAGCTTTGACTGCAACGTGTGACGTCATTTTAAGGCACTGCGCATGCGTTACGTCGTCTCAGTCGGCGATCGAGAATGCGTCAACCTTGATTTTCCTAAATCTAGTACATACATACATATTGATATTTATATAGCGCCTTTAGATGCTCAAGGTACTAGTATGCCGTGTGCGCATGCAGGGGCGGATCTACGTAGCGATTATTCCGGCTCGGGCCCCCCATCCTAGCCCCCCAAAACGATAAAAAAATAGGATAATAACGTAAAGTTAACCTTTATAAAAAAAAAATTAAAAAAGCGCCCCCCCCCCCGCTTATTCGCCGGCCGGCTGAGTCGGCACTAAATGTTGTATTAAGATTTGGCTACCCCCTCCCTCCCTTGACGACGTCTGGATCCTCTGCAGGCGCGGATCCACGGGGGGGGGGGGGGGGGCTGACGGGTCAACAACAAAAGAATTAAAAAAATATTCTCACGAATTAGGTGAAAAAAACAAAAATAGTGGTTTTCACCTCCCCGCCCCCCCCCCGCTTATTTATCGGCTGACTGAGTCGGCGCAAAATATATCCTGAAAAATTGGTGCCTCCTACCCCCCCCCCTGCTTATTCACCGGTGGCTGAGTCGCAACTAATATTTTCTCACGGATTGGGCCCCATAGGGTTAGGCTGGATCCGCCACTGTGCGCATGAGTTCCTCAGGTAGACAAAGGAACATCCCTTCCCTGCTATTATGTAAAAATGTGTAGAACAGGTGTCACATGCATATTCACCTTTTTACATCATTTGTTTACATTCTAAAGATAATACAGTCTAGCGAGGTTTGTTGTTTGCTGAAAGAAAGTAAATCACTTGTATTAAAGCAAAACTGTTAAACCGTACACTAATAATAATAATAATAATAATAATAATAATAATAATTGTAATAATAATAATAATAATGATATGTTATCCCCGTGCGTTGTGGTGTCGAATTAATCAGAGCGATCCATTTCTTCCAAACGACTGGGGATAGATACCATCTTTCTTTCAAGCAATAAAGAATAGTTCTATAGATCATAATTCTAGCTGTCGAGGTTTGTTGTTTGATGAAAGGAAGTTCATCACCTGTATTTGAGCAAAACTGTTCACCCGTACACCAACTAAAAGTTTGGAGCTCCGACAGTACAATGGTACACCGATACCTTTTGAGTTTTATCAATATTCTGCGCGTCTATTCTCCGTTTCGTATATGTTATCCAGCTAACAGAAGTGAAGCACACATTTGTATTTTGTGTATCGTTCCATCAAAGCCTACCATGGGTTGTTTTTATGAGATTTTAACTTCTCGAAGTTTGCCTGTGGTGGTGTGTATCTTCTTAAAGGCATCCTGTCATGTAGGTATTATTAAGACCATTGGAATTTACTTGGAAGATATCAACATTAGTCTTGGAACGACATCGACGGATATTGGAATTGCTCTTGGACTACTCAATGCATTCTCTAACTTTCCAGGTGAGAATCTAAATCTTAACTATTCCTAATGTGACCGCTCAAATCCAGTGGCAAATTATCTCTAAATGTATCCCGCACGATGTACTTGCGATGAATCGCTTACACAAAAATAAACTACCTGCCTGCTGGAGTGAGGGGAGAATAACCGACCCGTGCCCCGCCCCCTTTGAAACTTAAGTGGCAAATCTTAATGACCCCCCCCCCCCATGTCACACGTGAATTAAAGACCCTCTTTATTATTTCATGACATAGCTTTAGGTTTTCAAATAATTTTGGACTTAAAGATAGATCTGCCATCGTCTAGTGGATACATCCCCTCTGCGGGACGATTGTCCTTTCGTATAAGAATACAATTATATGCATAGTTTCAAGTAGATATTCATTGATTTTAAAAACTAACTTTATTTTCATTATTGCAAAGTTGAAACTTTGATTCGACAAGGTTATCAAAATTCAATGCTTGGAAACATTCGAAGTAATGATTATTATAAATTACAAAACGCTTAAATACAGCCCCGGTATAGCGCCTGAAGAGCTCTCCGAACGCTGCTGAGATGTGTGAGATCACAGTATGGACATGATTTGCACAAGCAGACGATGTCCCATGACATCTCACACATTTTCAGTGCCTGTGTTTTCATCTTATCTTGAGTTCTTTCTCTTATACCCCATTCACAGTGGTTTTGAAATTTGTAGCGGCGTTGTAGCGGATGATTTTTATTACCTCCGTAACAAACACGTGTATGCATGGCTCATGACCCGCGAGTGACCCCGATATGACCGGAAATACTTCAGCGCGGGGTTTTCGATTGCTTGAAATTGCGTGCGCTAGCTGTACTTTACACACTCTTCCTCATGTAGCTAGCTCGATTTAGCTTTTTGTATCCTCGATCATATTACTTTTTAAAAAACTAGCATTTTTATTGCTTCCAGTCAGAATATTTTAATTTTTTGAAGTGTGAAATATTTTTATTTGGATAATTATAATATCTACATAATAATAAAATCAATTTGAATCCACTGGTTACTTTATTTCTATTTCACTTTATGTTCCCCATTGCTGGAGAAAAGAGGTCAGTGATAGGTAAGTAAACAAATCACACGTGTTTGTCGCGGTGTTATAGCGGAGAGCCTTCACACTGAGTAAACACCGCGACAGCAGCGGGACTGTCCCGCTGCTGTAGCTAGGCGAACCTAGCGATAGTTTGTCGCGGCGTTATCGCGAGGCGGTGTTATCCCGCGATAGTTTATAACGGGTCCGAGCCTTCACACTGAAGACAACACCGCGACAGCAGCGGGACAGTCCCGCTGCTGTCGCGGTGTTTGAGGCCACTGTGAATGGGGTATTACTTCACTATGTCAGGCTAAATGTATAACGTATTGCCTCACTCTAAACCCCACGCATGGTTTTATTTTGATGACAAATGCAGCGATGCAAAAATAAAGGAATCTGTCGCTTGTAAACAAAATAAGACGCCATTGTACCGTGTGAGTAAAAAAAAAGTTTACACCTAGAAAATTACTAATCATTTTAAAAATCATCTATGAACAGTAAATTATTATACATCTTATGAAAGAGTGTTTTATCCCAAATCATTTGGTACCATTTTTGTGTGGTATGTGTTCACCCTTGGATGAACAGGTGGCATTGTTTGCGAGAGTGCAAAAATCGACTTGCGCCAAAGTGATATGATGCCTTTAGTATGTATTATGTTGGGATTAGTGGAGTGAGAGAATGGTTTGAATGTATCAAATGAAATGCATTGCATATGTTTTTCGCAAAGGACAAAGTCACACACACCCAGGGCTCAAATTAATTTTGTGTCCACGGGGGCTCTTCCCAAAAAAAAGAGCCCCGTGAGAAGGCTCACGGGGCTTTTTTAGTACTGACGGGGGCTCTTTTTTATACAAATATCCATTGAATTGGTACCTATGATACTCCTCAATTATTTGCTGTTTCATCATTATCATTTTAATCAGCATTTTCCCTCTTACAAATTTACAAGCTACATAACTGTTAATGACTTTTATCCCGTGATGACATTCTCTCGATGTCTTCCCGTTCTGCACATTATTTCCTCCTCATTATTGGGAGCAACCTTTACATTCTTTCTTTACTGAGCCACGTAGCGGAGAGGCGATTTTGTGTGTGTGCTATTTTGGACAGACGCGGATCCACGGGCCGATTCTACCGCCCCCCCCCCTCCCCCAGCCTCCCAAACCGGTAAAAAAATAGGATAGTAACGTAAATTTTAGCTTAAAAAATAAAATAAAAAACGCCCGCCCTCCTGACTTGCCAGTGACACAAATGCGGCATCAAAATATTTGTGCTTCTCCGATCGTAATTAAATGCCTAAAACCCCTGACCCCCCCCCCCCCACACACACACACCAATTTACGCTCGCTACCCTCTACCTGATCGTAAATACTTTAGCCCCCCCACTTTGATAAACGTTCCGCGGGGCCTGTGTATATAATATATACGCATACAACACTGATCTTTATGATGTCTTTAACGTGACATATCTTCTTCTCCCCTTGCAAACGAGAAAGAAAACAAGGTCATTGATTGTGATTCAAATTGATGCGAATATTTGTTTGAATAAGCACTGCTATTCATCCGATTCTTCTTTGTAAAAACAACTTTTACAAATTTCAGCCATGCTTATTGAGTTGAGACGTTCCATTCAATGTAAAATACTCATTAAAGAATACACTTCTCCTGATCTGAAAGTGATCTTACAACACAGTGGCTGAATTGCATGGCTGAGATTTGTAAAAGTCGTTTTTACAAAGAAGATTCTGGTGAAAAGCATTGCTTATTCAAAAAAAAAATCCTTGCATCAATTTGAATCACAATGACTATTTGTCGCATGATCCGTTTATTAAATAACCTTGTTTTTTTTGTTTTTTTGCAGGTGGAGAAGAAGCTATGTCACGTTAAGAAATTATAAAGATCAGTTGTATTATGCGTATATACATAATGATACCAGAACAAAATGTTGATTATCAGAATGTCATTTTGGAATACCTCTATAAAAATACCACATTGTCTTTAGCCCGTATCAGTATTAGTATGAGCCAATATAAAGCTATTATTCTTTATTCAGTTCAGTATAATGGTTTTCCTCAAAAATAGTTTCGCTATTTTTTTAGGGTTGAGACGCTAAGAAATGGTTTCAAATGTACATTACACAAACCCTGAACCATTGCAAAATGATGGTGGTTCTCTCTCTCTCTCTCTTTATTTTAATCATGCATTATCAACTACATATAAAGCAGCAACCAAAAACTTAGGGTTATCTGAGATAGGTGAAAGTAAGAGTTAAAAAGAAAGTCATGCTAAAACGGCGCTTCACCTCCCCCCCCCCCCCTGAAAAAAAAATTAGTGGTCCTCCTCTCCAGCATCCCCTCCCCGCTTTAATATTCACCAGCCGGCTGAGTCGGCGCAAAAATGTTCCCCCAAAACTGGACCCCCCAAAACAAATATATGTGCATTTATCCAGCCCCCCCCCCTCCGCTCATTCGCCGATCGCCGGCTGGCTGATTCGCCGCTAAATATTTTCTCAAGATTTGGCACCCCCCCCCCCCCTCTTGCCGCCGGCTGGATCCGCCCCTGATTTAGGACCCCCGTAAGTGATGTTTTCCTGGCATCTACTTACATGCGAAGCATCGTCCACGAGCCGCATAGTGGCGAGGCGATTTTTTGTTGTTGCTATTTTGAACCCCCGTATTGTTTTCCTGGCATCTACTAACATCTTACTGTGTGGGTCGATCTGGACACATAATGGCGTTTTTCTATGCACATCACATTTTCACTTGGCAGCCCAAGGGGGCCGGGGGAGGAGAAGGTTAAACCCTCTAACCCCCCCCCCCCCGTAGATCTGCCCATGTTACCATATCATTCCACGACATCTTGGTCTTCCTCTTCTTCTCAATAGGGACTTTTAGATTTGCGTGGACGTGGACGTGTTCTTTTAAGGCACTAGCAGTCACATGTGACGTCCTTTTAAGGACTGGCAGTGCCTTAAAAGGAGGTCACACGTTGCAGTCCACGTTCTCATCGTGCAAAAAAAGTCCCTACATTGATTTACTGGTCGAGGTTCATTATTTGCTGGTCATTTGAAATCCCCAGATTTCAGCGGGTTTACGCTTTCACAACGAAAAACTTCTCGATGACCATATGTTTCTGCCCTTGTGCGATCGCCTCCATAGCTCCAGCAGACACGGCGCGGCAGCGTGCACACGTACCGTTACTAACGGCGCAGTAGGCCTATAACCACTGATGACGGCGGCACTGCTCTGCGAGCTGAATCGGTAATAATAGGCCTACCGCCTACTCATAGAACTAGAAATCTTGCACGCTTATCTAAGTTTCATTTCATTGGTTTAAGGTTTGTAAATTGAAACTCAATATTGTGTTAAAGTTATAACAGAAAAGATAATCTTTATTATATAATTCCACGAGGGCGATTTTTAATTTTGCAATCGCCCCCGTGAGCAACCAGACGGGGGCGATTATGTAGCTCAGGGGGCGAATCGCCCACTGCCCCCGTGTATTTTGAGCACTGCACACACCCACACACACGCGCACAAATGTTCCTTGATATTTGATATTCGATATTTGAATGTGTGTCATGATTAGTTTTGTTAGGAGTGTTATTTGGATCTGCAAACACCGAATTAATACCCAAATCCCAATTGTTTTATTCAAACATCACATAGGCAACTTTGGCGCAAGTCGATTTTTGCACTCTCGCGAACAATGCCTCCTCTTCACCCAGGCGTGAGCACATACCACACAAAAATGATACTGAATGATTTGGGATAAAACACTCTTTTATAAGATGTATAATAATTTACCGTTCATAGACGATTTATAAAATAATTAGCAATTTTCTAGGTGTAAACTTTTTTTGGACTCACTCAGTATATTCAGCTGCACACACCGTGGTATATGTTCGGCGTTTCAAGAGGGAACAAATGCCGTCCTTGATATCATTCCGGGTTTTTTTTAATTTGAATGTCTGTTTTCTTTGATTGTTAATTAACCCCTATCCTGTGTATTTACAAGCAAAAGATTTTAGTTATCAGAATCGGGTTATATCCTCTTTTTAATGGTTTGACATGCCATTACATTTATATACACTAACCTCATTACAATTTGACAAATAATAGCTTTGCAATTATGTTCATTCTTTATGGGATGTCGTCTGCTTGCGCAGTATTGGTCCATATAGTGACGTCATTAAAACATCGTTATTTTTCCGGTGACTCGTCTCTCGTATATCCCAGCTGCTATGGAGGTGGTTGTATTTGTATTTTTATAAATCACCCGATATGTAGTTGACCTAAAACTTGTACGATGGCCATCTGTTAGCTTACCAGTTTCTAGTGATACATTAGTTGACATATTTGTGATTTTCTTTGAATTTCACCTTCAACAATATTAAATCTGATATAAATGGCCCTACGTGTTATCAGTCTCTGTGACATGGTGTAATATTGAAGCCCTTAACAAAGTTTGCGCTTCAAAATAATCATGAAGTGCCTCAAAAAAAGTAAAAATCTTTGATTGACCGGTTGTTATTTTCCCCAATAGACTGTGGTGTTATTAAAATCGTTACGAAAACGAATTCTGAACTTTCTAATTCCAATCATAAATATCTTGATAATCAGACAGGCGATCAGCTTGTAAAAGTCATGGGATTCATGTATGACCTAAAGGTTTATAATTATGATTGCAGCATGAGCTGAATTCTGGATTTTTTAAAGAATCTGAGGCAAAGTTACCCTATCCCTTTAATAACAGCGCATTTTACACATACAAATGCCTTTTCGAGGGTCAGGTCGGAAACTATGGTTCCTGGGGTAACTTGACAGCAAACATTTTTCATGAGTGCATGGTGGGGCCCTGGAAGGAAAATGGTCAAATTCACGTCACCGAGAGTAGTAACAGAAAATGATAATGGTAATAAAATTAATAGTATATATCATTTCGGTTAAGCTTAGATGTACTTTTCTACTCATAAATATATGCACCGGAAGGTACCGCACACAATTGTGAACGAACTATGAATGTTCGCAATACAGTACGTACTATTTTGTGTGTGACGTCTCACACCGTGTATGGTATTTCGGTATCTGAAAATAGTACTGCATGCTGAAAATGGATCGTGACGTGAAATGTTAACCCTGACGGCAATTCGCATGATAACCTTCCAAAGCCCCCCCCCCCTCTAAATATAAACACCTGTTAGGAACTTTCGCTCACCAATTGACAAATGTAACCTAATTATTCCAAAATCCAGACTTTCATCTACCGAAAAACGTCTCACAATTCCTTCTTCGAAAATGGGCACATACACTAATATTTGATCTCGGAAAGCGTACTTCTTTCCTCAGTAATTTGATATGATTTCCCTTTTTAATGAAGTTTGTGTATTTTTTCACAATATGTTCTTTGGGATATTTTTGATAGCCCTCCTAAACAATCGATAATAATATAATTATTGTAATATATCTTGTTAAAGGTACTATGTCCCTTTTGCAGCCAACCTCAAATTCTGTGGAACTTTGCAGAAATTATGAAAACATGTCATGTATGTCCTATCTGTGAAATTTAAACGTTAGCAGTGTCCAAATATTCAAATTATGCAAGGAAACCCGTTAACTTGTTAGACTTCACTGTCAGACACTATTGAGTGACTGACTGGCTTTTTTCTTCTTTGGTAATAACATACATAAAATGAGCCGTAAAGCGTACATGAGCATTTGTCTACATCAATAACCCACTTCTTGTGATGGCCAAAATTAAACTGATTGAATCTTTGCGCAGCATAACACGTATGACCATTCGGTACAATGGTCTGAAAATCAAGACTATTACTTATTGACTCTATAGCTCCTAAGTCGATTTGACAACTAATAGTCGTTATTTTCCCACTTGAAGACATTTTCAAGCCTCACCTTTTTTAGGGAAGTTTTAAATTAGTATTATTTTTTCAATGCCGTTGGAATTTAATCTTTTCATTTTGTTGGCCTGCAAATGGGAAATAGTACCTTTGAAAAATATTCAATTCATGACTAATATTTGAAATAGATTCAAGCAGATGAATATCAGTTATAAGAAATGTTGCTAATTACATGAGCATAAGATTTTTTCTGTCTTCATATAGCTCCTATAATTGCTGCCCTCTATCGCCACCATTCCATTCGTCGTCTGCTCCTAATATTTGGTACATGTCTCGCTTCGATGGGCGTGGCCTTGACTTCCATGGCAACCAGCAACGCTCAAATGTCAATCTATCTCTCAATAACCGGTAAGAAACTGTTCATAAAATCTTATTAACTATATTACAGTCCATGTTTATCTTTAACCTTACTCCTGATTACATGAAAGGTTTTCGTAAGAAGTTGGGAGGGAGAGTTAATTGTTGAAAATATTTGATCAATTCATTTGTTTCGCTTTTATAGTGAAGGTTATAATTTAGATTTTCCACTTTTTGGAAAAAGCATGAAAACAAGCTATGATCCAAATTGAATGGGTGTAAGGAATACTTTGGTTCAGATTGGTCTAAAAGCACTAAATTTGGCAAAGACGTCGAACATGCCATACTATTTAGATTTTTTACGGACGCCAAGAAGGGCACCGCCTGGGGCCGACATTTTGGTCCAATAAAAAAAAAGCCCGCCAGATGAGCTGGAATTCAATAGTATTTAAAAATATGGGGCCTACAGATATCGAAAATCTTATTCTGTTGTTAATTCATCGATTCGATGTCAAGGAGGGCGCCCCTTGAGATTACTTCCGCCATTTGAGCTCATGGTTTATTAAACTATTATAGTTTATATAGCTCCCCTTCTGCATTACCGAAGCACGATGATTATAATCCCCAACTTCCAAAATATGTTCTTATAGGAGTGTAGTTCAGGAGAAGTGGATCGGGAAGCTAGCTAAGGACAAACTCGAACCACCCTACCAACAGGGACTTTTAGATTTGCACGTCGACAGCTTCGACTGCAACTTGTGACGTCATTTTAAGGCACTGCGCATGCGTCACGTCGTCTCAGTCGGCGATCGAGACTGCTTCAACCTTGATCTTCCTAAATCTAGTACGGTACTAGTATGCCGCGTGCGCGCGCGTGCACGCTTATACTTCCTGTATGCATGTATATCGTCGAGTGAAATCTAAAAGATTTCTAATTGTAGTCAACATGGGCAGTTGAGTACGTTGACACGCATGATCAGTCGGCATTCGTCGTGTTCGCGTCCACTCAATCTAAAAGTCCTAATAGTTCTTGAAGAGGACTTGTCTACCGAATGCAAATAGATGCATACAAAACAATAATTAAATAGAATGCCATTAGCTTTTGACAAAAGATGAATGGAGGGCACCAATGAGGAGAATCATTGAGAACTGGGATGTCAAAACTTTAATTGATTTATTGTTGACAACACGGAAACTGTTTCAAACAGACACATATCCACATAAAATGTAGAATGTGTGACATTTATATAACTACGATTTGAATGTCTTACATTCTGAACAGAAATAGAGAAAATAAAAGATAGTAAAAACTAAAGAGACACCTCAGGAAAAACGAGAAATTATGAAGACGATCTAAGAGAGAGAGAGAGGGGGAAGGAGAGAGTAGATAAAGGAAACACCAAGGAGAAAAGTATAGAAACAATGGACCAAATTTGAAAGAAAAGCGGAGCCTGTCTTAGTGCATTTAGAAAATAGCAACATCGTGGAAAATGCATGAATGGCCTGGATGAAATATTGGGATTACTTGAAGACTTCCGAACCTTCGTGTGTGTAGTTGAGTTTTTACAGACATGTATCAATGATCAGATATGATTATTTACGTCTGGGGACCGACCTTTAACGTCACCTGGTCCATCCAAAAGACGTGACTCAGTTTCGAACCTGCGTCCTCGGCTGAATCAGTTTTTAATTTCCATAGTTAGCTGGATTACAGGCGCACGCCACAACGCACCTGTTAACACTTAAAGGCCTTATATAGGCCCTAAGCCGATATTTATTGTTAAAACTCGTAGGCTCTGTTTATCTTTTGCCAGTAACAACTCTCCTTATAATAGATATAGACCTAAATCTAGCCTCATTTTTTCAGTATACGAGTTTTATTACCGTATAATCAAGGAGTATAGATTGTCTATAGTCTTAATCAAAATTGAGTTATGTTTGGGTCGTACCCAGTTTTCTAACACTCAATTATACATTGTTCAACTTAAGTTGAATTTAATATCGACCGTAATTTTCAGGCGAAGGGCTTCCCAAGTAACGGACCATACATCGTTAATAAATACATATGGACCGTCAACTAAAAGGTTTGAGAACCCCTGTTATAGAGCTTCTCGTTGTGCAAACTTATCTGGCGGCCATTTTAGATCTGACCAAAATGGTGGCTCTAGATGTGGTGCGTTTAGAAATTTGCAACAAACTGCTCCATTTCTCCTCCTAACATCCTCAACTACTGTAACTTGTACAAATATAGGTAGTACGTAGTAGGCATTTGAAGATTTGAAAGCGTGCCATCGTGCGGCATTGTATTAAATTTCATGATGCCATAACAATATTTACCTAGTTTGGTATTATAATTTAGAAAATCGATGTTTGTTCCATAGAATACTTGCGGTCATGGGTAAACGGGGCCAAAATAGCGCGGAGGTAAATGCACAGTATATAGTGCGGCCCCTGTAGCGCAAACTCTCCGCTACCACATATTTCAAATTGGAAGAATATTTAGTAGAAACATGTGATACACTATCAAAAGAACATTGCAAATATGAAATTATTAATTACAAATATAAAGATCTTAAATTCAATTGCAATATGACGACGCCTTAACCTCTGCTTAGCTACAACGATTATATAATCCCATGTACACTTCGAGCCCCCTTCATGATTACAATACATATTTTTTTAATACGAATATGGGATATGGATGATAGGGAGATATGAGTTTGCTCAGCTCTCTGTCTTCGTCTACAAACTGGCACAGGTGACCCCAGTTTGAAACTGAGTCACGTCTTTCGGATAGTGACGTTAAAGGTCGGTCCCCAGGCGTAAATCCTTTTATCTGATTCAACCACGTTTGTGAAACCTAGATTACTGAGGCACACATATATGCTCATTCGTACATACAAATTAATTACAGTAACAGAAATACAGTGTACGATAATGAAAATAATAATGATCATGACGATTACGAGGATTATATCATAATTCTCCTCATCCTCATCATTATCAGAGCATACATATGTTTAATGCTCGAGGTAAAGTGAATTCTTTTAAAGAGTATTTACAATAGAATACATGGAATAGTTAGCGAACTAATCGTGTCTTGTTGTGTGTATCCACTATAAACACGTTCATTCTTATTTTGTTCGACGCACAAAGGGAGCTTTTGCCCGCACTAAAATTTTAGCTTTCGTCTGATATTTTAGGCGTCCAATAGCTAAATGCCCGCAGTTCCGACAATCAGAAAGCTTGAACCTTAAATTATGATATAATTGGGATTCTTAACCGTCTTTGTTGTTGCTATTATATTTTTTCACTCAACAAATAAGATTGGCCATTCATTAACTTCTTTCAAACGAATTTCTAATATTGTGGGTTTTTTTTTTTGCATTTTAGAGCCTTATTATGTGTATTTTTTTACTGATGTAATTAAAAGAATCCCATTGGTTAAATTGGAAATGTTTAATCATGTTAACAGGACATCGATGAAAAACAGCTTTGCTGATTCGATTGTTTCTTTTTTTATCCTGTATAAATATGTCAAATAAATAAATTAAAAAAATATAACTTATCTGAAAAATGACGTTCGTGAATTATTCTTGTACATCAAATTTTAATGGGTACTTATGCATTTTATTCAGATACGATAATCCAATTTCAATTCTCCTACATGTTTTCTTTTCATGTGAAACAGGTCTTGGATATTGCATGGTACATATATGTTGTACCATGACATTGCACCACGTGGCTCGAAATTTCAACCTACTTTTCAGCATTAGTTTGACTGGATATGGCGTCGGAATGTTTCTGTTACCACTCATAGCTGAATTCCTACGTCAAGCTTACGGTTGGAGAGGTGGACTGCTCATCATAAGCGCGCTGATGGCACATATTATCCCAGTTGGCATGGCAATCAAGTTCGAATCAGATGAGAGCAGCACACAGAGAAATGACGTTCAGAGTGTCCCAAGTTCGCCCCCAGAGTTTAACGAGGAAGCGGAGAGCAACATCAGCACAAGCAAGGACACAGAAGGTGAGTTGGACCGGTATTCCTAGTAGACCAAAAGCCCGTGAGACCGGCAGTCTCATGCGAACGCCATTGTCGGTCTCGTGAACTTATGTCAGAAAAATATGGCAGAAAAGCCAAGAAGACCAACATGTCGGTCTTGTGTCCTGTTAGTCTCGTGGGCCTTTTACAATGTTGACAGGTTGTCAGAAGATTTTCTAGACCTACCGTGTCTGTCGTGTGGGCCTCGTTCTCGTGTGCTTAATAAGTCTAAGAAGACTGACATAAATGGTAAATTATGGTCGACGATATGTAACCCTGTCCGATTTTAACATAAATGCTTTGGCTGCTTACTAAGGTGCGCCACCTCGGTTCAACATATGTTATGGACAGGGTCGAGGGTTTTGCCAACCCTTCGAGCGACAATAAACAGCTGAATAACAATACAGTGGAATACTCTTAGATAATATAATGGAGTTTGTGCAGAGAAAGGAATTGTAGATATAATGTTTAGTTTTGTATTTAAAACAAATCTTTAATTTTTTTTGTATTAGACAATTGATGAGAGACCTACATTTTCCTTGTGTACTTTGATATTTTAGAGGTAAATTCATTTCGAAAGTAATTTTGAGATAAAACCCCTTTTTGGAGGCCTTCATAATCAAATTTTCTTTATAAAAGATGACAACAGAGACGAGATTGGAGTTTTTCGTAGTATCGCCAACAGCCTTCGCCAATCTGATTTTTACGTGGATCCTGTGCTCAATGTGCTACTTGGTGCAATTTTCGCGTCGCATATGGTTTGGGGAGGTTGGCACTCCTTTCTTATACCGCATGCTCTGCAGAGGGGAATCTCTGTCCGGAACACCATTATCATCACTTTCTCAGCAGCAATAGGGAATACCTTCGGCAGGGCTGCTGTAGGTGTCCTTACCAACAGCCTCGTCAAACCTGTTACCCTCTTTCTCTTCGCTACAATGTTAAACATCGCCACTCTTCTTTGCGACGTGTATTTCACCAACTTCTACGCCATGTTGGTGACGTCATGTATCTCCGCAATGGCAGTAGGAGGGGAGGCGGTGTTAGGACAGTTGGTTGTGAGGTACAGAGCATCTCCAGAGAAGTTTGATGTCGTGTATGCAGCCGCCTTAATTTTTATCGGATCCGGGCGGTTTCTTGGTGGCTATTTGAGTGGTAAGGATTCACCAAAAACGCATATGAGCCATTAAAATAATTTGTTGTTGTTAAAGGTATAGACTAGTGCCAGTCAGGCGATTGCTTTGTGAAAGAAACGTTGTGGAATCGATCAGAAAAGGTTGATCATCTAGCATATATATATATATATATATATATATATTGGTGTGTCCGGCAAGGTTCTGGAATCATCAAAATGATAAGAAATTTGGCCCAGTCTTGGTAAAGTTACAAGCACTGTACACATACAGATGCATATGGGACTACAATATATCTATCCAGTCCAGATAGATATAATAATTTACCAAACATATCAATCAGTAGGCGGTTTCCCGGCAAAATTTGTATCATTACGTATTAGTCAAAACATATTCTTTCACATAATTAGTAATAAGAACTTCCATTTCGTTTTTTGAGAGGGGGGGGGGGCGTTTCCAAAACTAATCTTTACGTTTAACTTGAATTGAATAAAAAGAATTTTTAGTTTGTTTTCATGTTGTTTCCAGAAAGAAGAAAATCAGTTTGACAACCTTCATGAAAGCAAAGAAAATGGTTCGATAAGATCAATTTCAACAATTAACCCTTCTCGTGATTTTATTCGTTGATTTGGAATGCAATTAAAAAAACACGATTATGAACTGATTTGCTCTAACAGCTAAAAAAAAACTATAATGTTATTAGGTTCAATGATAGACTGAACAAAGATTGCAAACTCAGTAGGTGTGGGGTACAGTTCCCTACCAGTAATTTAGAGATAGTTTGCATTTAAGGATTTAATGGGTATGAAGACAACGCCCATTGGTATCAAACGCAGACGAGGAAAATAATGGTGGCGATAGAGGGCAGCAATTATAAGAGCTGTATCGAGACCAAATAATAAATAAAATAATCTTGGGGTACAGTTACTGATTTATATATGATACATATCAGTGTCTATTTATATCGAATAGTCATTATGAAATGAATATTCATTTAATACACAACATCCGTCATGAAGAGAATCTTCACACGTGACTGGTCCAGCGGGCACCAAATGATTTAAGGACAAATCCACTCGAAAAATAACTTACTTTCAATAAAAGCAGAAAAAATCAGACAAACCAATCAAAAAAAGTTTGAGCAAAATCGGATAACTAATAAGAAAGTTATGATTATTTGAAAAAGTATGTAAAACTACGGAACAATGAGAAATACAACACAAATTGCAAAGATGGTTGTCAGTTTGTGACGTCATGTTCTCACTATTTATCAATTGCTCTATATGGTTTAATCCCATTAATTTCCCTTTTTATTCCCCAAACTTGATTTCCCCATGCCTTTGCCCAGGTTATATGATTTGTATCATATTGCGTGCATGACATATCAAAAAATCTTCTATGAACTTTGAAGAACTTATACTTTTTTCTGAATATTGTATATTCATAATTATTGATTTTTATATAAAAAGTTTATCAAAATTCACATTTTTCATGATTTAACTGTTTGTGGAAAAAATTACTCTATATTAGTGCATCCACACAAAAACATATTACAATTAATTTAACTTGGTTGCTGGTGTAAATAAATAAGATTCTTAAGGAGAAAATAGGAAATTTATATCATGAGGTCACAGACTCATGAGTGAGTTGCCAATTTGTCTAGTGATTTTCAAAGTTTTTAATGTCATTAAAAATTCATAACTTTCTTATTAGTTATCCGATTTTACTCAGACTTTTTTTGCTTGGTTAGTCTGATTTTTCTGCTTCTATTGAAAGTAAGATATTTTTGGAGTGGACTTGGGCTTTAAAGGGTTGCAGGTTAATCATGTAGAAATAGATTGGATAACGCAATTAATGCAAAAAGATCAAAATAGTGACTGATCAAATAACTGTAATCAAGGGATTTATTCATAGGTATTCAGATCAACAAAGTGGATTCAAATTGCTCTCATTGTATTTTATTTCAGGAATGATTGCGGATCACTTCTCATCCTACAACGCAACGTTCAAACTATTAGCTTTCATCGAGGTTGTCGTTCTCCTCCTAATGGTAGTCGTGAGATGCAGACCAAAAGCAAACCCCGTCTGAACATGCTGTATCGGAAGCGTGTAACATATATTTTTTATAGTGAGCTTTGAAAGCGAGTTCGTTCAGAATGTTTTCTTTTTATATATTAAAAATAAAATTATTTTAAAAACAATTTCTTTTCCTTTTTCATAAACGCATTTGGAGCTTATTATATAAGTAATCGATAGGCAACTCATAGATACTTTTGTTTTACATGCTGAATATAATAATACATTTATTACCAACATACTGTGTATAGAATTTGAAAAAAATTGTCTCTTAAAATGTTCAAGTATTGTAGAGTACAATAAAAAAAAAAACATTTGCATTAAAACAAAATCCCATGTCCTACAACAATAGAATAACGATTCTGATCGGTTTTTTTTATCAAGAACAACCGATCGATACGGTTAGTCGATGGAGTAGATTTATGTAGAAGGTACATGTATAGTTTCACTTGCAGAGTGAATGCAATGAATAAACGATATCATCTTCTAGAAGCTTGTTTATGCACATTCCCTCCCATAGGGAGAGCCCTCCTCCCAGATATTGTTTGAAAGATTAAAGGGAAAGTCCACCCCCAAAATAAGTTTGTTTCGATAGAGGCAGAATAATAAGAAAATCAGGTGAGTGAAAGTTTGAGCAAATTCTGAATGAAAATAAGAAAGATATGAATTATTGAAGTTGTGATCAATCAAATACAAATTGGCAACTCTGTGACTTATTATATGAGCTCTCCTTCATTTGCTTTGTGCATAATATTCCATAAAATCATGTTTTCTTCGTTATTGATGACGGAATATATATTTGTTCCTTGCAGGGGGAGTATAGAAACATATTTGCAGTTATTATATTTAGGGTGCATGTATGGTTGAAATTTTTCTTGAGGGAAAATGAAAATTTTAGATTTTTTTAGTACTGAGCAAATGGAAGTTTAGCTCGCATGATACGTCATAGAGTTGCCAATTTGTGTTTGATTGATCACAACTTCAAAAATCCTAACTTCCTTATTTTTAATCGGAATTTGCTCAAACTTTCACTGACTTGTTTCTCTCATTTTTCTACTCCTATTAAAACTAATTTAATTTCAGGGTGGACTTCCCCTTTAAATGAATATTAACCTGGCATTATTGAGAGTCCCAAATGAAATATATAATGTTGGGAGGTAACGATTACAATAAAAGCAGAAAACAATGAACGAGAAGAAAAAATAATATTTTGAACAAAAAACAACGACCGAGTTTACGTTGATTGTGGCTGTATCCCTCCTTCGGTTTGAATTAAGGGCCATGTGTTTGGTCAATGTGTTTGGTCCATGGAGGGACCCTATTTTGTATAACGTTGTTTATATGTTGCCACTCTACTCTGTGTTTATATAATTTGTTTTTCCTATATATTAAAGGGGCTGTAGCATGGGAAATACTGGTTAACGTTATCCACGACTTCTTTTGGAGAACTGCACGTAAACGAATGGACTTGATTATTACTGGGTCAGCGTTCTAGCGTTCGCTAAACAGACCGAAGTTCTCCTCACTCTTCGGTTTGCGCATGTTGCACGCACGTGAATACATAGGCCTACTGCGGTCTCGTCGTCCATAGTCGTAGTAGTATACCCGATTGGCCTCGAGTCAGGCCACGGGAAAGACAAATAGTCTCGTCATTCTACAGCCCCTTTAAGCTACCTCCTCTCCGGTTCATTTGTACATGGTTATAAAGTGGAGAAAATAGTTTTATTCAGTTAAAGTGTTTTGTTGTTTGCATCTTAATAGATTACTTTCAAAGTAACACGATTTAAATTTTGTGAGATTTA